TTCCAGGCACCTAACTTCTGGAGATCAAAGGGACCTTGTTTCCTCTTAAAGAGCTTCAACAAGTTCTTCCACCGTAGATACCACAGATCAGAGGACTGACGGCCCAAGAAACACGCGATGCTCAGCAGGTTGTGTACATCTGGTGGGCAGGTCTGGCCACGTGGAAGACAATGGAAGAGGGGATGCAGGAGGAGTGGCTGATGAGTAGGACCGGAAAGCGGGTCCGGAGGTGTGGAAGGCCTTGGGCCATGGAGGAAGTGATGCCATCTTCAGGGGTGTCATGAGAAACGTGCTACAGGAAAGGATGAGGAAAATCAGGTCAGGAAATGAGGAGGATGTCTTCCCGGTGTGTGGGACTGCAAGGCCCACAGCCACCCAACCAGTTTGGGCTGATGGCAGTTGTAGTCCAACACTTTTGGAACAGATCAGGGAAGGGACGGCTCCGCCTGGTCCAGCTTTGCGCTTCCCTCTGTGGCCATCAGAGGCTCCTGGGAAGCCCATGCGTTGGGTAGGAAGGCATGAGCCCCCCCACCCCCCAACTCAAGTTCAACGCCAAACGCCACTCGGAGGCTGCTGCATCTGAGGTGGGAGGGGGCAGAGTGACGGGTTTCATCATTGTGCTAAGCCATGGTTTCTTCAACTGTGCGCAGGAAGGCGACCGCCATTAGTGATTGATGGTGCGCCATCAAGTCATTGTCGACTCTTAGTGACCACATAAATAAAGCACAACAATCGGTGCTTTGCACAAAATATTAAGCTATAAGTCAGGGGGGTCCACAGGGAATGGTAAGAAGTTGGGGGCCAACTGAGTGGTCCAACCGAAGCTCCCCCTGTTTTCATGTGCGTTGCACCTTCATGGCCAGCTTTCTGATTTTTGGCCCATACCATGCAGACTCCCTTGCCATAAATCATGACTTACAGTCACCAGTGCCCGGGTCCACTCGACATGCCAAGGCAGGCAAGACAACGACAATTTTCTAAAAGACGTTAGAAAATGAATGGCGCCATTTGTCGAGTTGAGGGCCATTGCAGCTCTGTGAAGAAGGGAATGCCCTACTGGGTGAATTCTGTTGCGTGAAAAATCCCTTCTTTATATCCCCCCCACCGCCCCCCGATTTTCCCTGCCTTCGTCTTCATTTGACAGCCCACTAGGTTTGGGTATTGCCGGAGCGTCGGGCCTGACTTCACACCCCTGCCTTGCCGGCCATGCTTTTCAAAGGAAAAATTCTCAGTGCTGAAATTCCAGCCCCTGGAACATCTTCCTCGCCCTGTTCTGATCTTCTCTAGGCTTTGTCAACAGCAAGGTCACCGCATTCCAAGTAGAGAGGTATAAAAACGCACGCAGGTAATGGCAGTTTTATTCCTTTTGACGCGGTAGACTTTGCCTTTTCCGCCCGGGCTGCCTCGGCCATCCGCCTGTTCTGCTTGGGGCCCACCAGCTCGGCCCCCGAGTTCCTCCGGACGAAGGGCAGTGCCGGGGGCAGGCAAGGCGGGCCTCCTGGGGACCCGGCAGTGTCGTAGCCCAGCCTGCAGCTGCCAGCTGGCCTGGCCAACCCGGTGCTGCTGGCACTGCCTTGTGTTGGGAGGCGGCCGCCGAGGCAGCGATGCAGCTCCAGGAACGCCAGCCTGTCCCGGCCTTGAGTCCTGATCCCGGCGCGCCCGGATCCCAGCTGCTGAGCTCCTGCAAGGGCAGGCTCAGCAGAAGAAGCCCAAGGGCAGAAGGGCAGTGCTGGCATCTGGGGCTGGAAGACTCCCACATTGTCGAATATGCATTTACGCAGCACTTCAGTTCGGACTTTGAGTGGCTCACGCACCCAACATCCGCCAGTCAGATTAAGACGGTGAACGGTCATTACCAAAATCAAAGTACGACTTCCACTTATGCATCAAAGAACAAAAAACTAGACTCCACAAACAGCCCCCTGCAAGAAGGAAGAGCAGGTTCACTGGGAAGAGCTGAGGGGGTTTCATGCATTTTTCAGCAACGCACCACCCCTCCCATGGATCTCCTCAAGCGACGGCTGCGATTTCGCTGCAAGACAGGAGACTTCCGCCTATGCACAGGGGCACCCCGGTAGTGGGGTGGCTCCAAAAAGTCAAGCTGGAGGCTGCAATTGTGGGTCGAAGCCCCTCCCTTTTTACCTGCATGCGAAAAAGGGGGTGGGCTTCCGCCTCGTGGCCGTGACTGCCATCTCGACTTTTGTTTAACCCCCCTCCCCGCACATGGCCTTGCTTCTGTGTGCACAGAAGAACACAGAAGACACCAGAGGGTGTGATGCGGGTGATGCCTTCTTGTGAAGTGGGAGAGGAGGCTCTTTTAGGAACGATCTGGTGCCAACTGAGGAAGCGGGTCAGGGATGGCGAGCGTGCACGGATGGGCGGCTGTTCTGTGCGCCCGGCTATCTGCCGCTACGGCAAGGCCCTGTGGCCAACGGCTCTCTGAGAACGTGATTCCTCAACTTACAAATGTGCACGTGCCCATGAGGTCTCAGCGACTGAAGATAAGAAGGGGTTTCCTCCCCCTTCAAGGTGACTGGATGGCCAGTGTCTGGAAAATGTTGCCAGCTATAGAATTCCGCCATTCAGTTGGCAACGGTGGGGCGAGGACAGCTTCCAGAGGGCCGGGGGCACCACTTCATCTCCCAGCTCTCCAAGCGTTGGAGATGGGCCTGGTGCGGGAAGGAGGAAAGAAGGCGAGGGAATGAAGGGAAGGAGAGAGGAGAAGGAGGTGGTCTGCCGAGGAAAGGAAGGTGGAGGAGAAGAGAGAAGAGGAGAAGGATGGGGAGGAACGTAGACGCATCGGCTGGAAGAGGAAGGAGATTGGGTGAGAAGAGAAGGAAGAGACGGGAAGGAAGCGTTACAGGTGGCCAGGCGGCCTCATAGTCCTGCAGCCTGGAGAGGAACAACAACAGTCTTTGTGCAGGCATTTCCCACAGTATTATCCGTGAGGCTGAACCTTAGGGGGAAAAAAGGACCTTAGCAAATCTACAAAGGTTTGTTTTCTTTCCACTCCAGCTGGTATCCTGTGGCCATAGTCTTGTCGGCCATCTGGCTGGAGGGGAAGAAGGAAGAGTTAGACCGACATAACGCATTTGCAGAAGTCCATCCACCGTTTTTCCCTAGTGTAAAGAACCCCCCAAAGAGGCCAAACCCACAGATACGTGTTTGTTTGCTTGGTTTTTATTATTTTTTAATATGCATTTTTCTTATTTTGGGCCCTGAAAAAAAGAACTGGAAAAAGACTCAGTCTCTCTCCACTGTATGACGTTTGGGAAATGGAAAGAACTTTGTATTTCCTTAAGTACAGAGGTAGAAACAATGTCTCTGAGCATCCATGGAGTACCGTTGTCTCTTCACTGCACTACTCAACACGTGTCAACAGGAGTCCAGGACTAGAAATTAACTGCATGGAAGAGAAGAGGGTGTGTGCGTGCAGTCGAGGGTATAAAATGGGCTGCTAAATGTCTTACACCCTGCTGTGCTAAAACGTTGGACCCACAAAGATGGCAGGCAGGTTGATGGGAGAAGAAGGCCCTTCCCGTAGGTTTGTCAGCCTGGTCTAATATTTGTCACGAGAGAAGAGCTGACCTTCAAAGGAAAGGGCCTTCTGCAGGAGGATCCTGTGTGCTTGTTCACCCATTCTGCTGGATTCAGAGACATCCTGGGAACATTCTCCAGGTCGGTCTTTTCCCACTTCCCGTCACACGTGATAGACTCCAGTTCCCATTGACCATGTCCTTGGTCATGGTCATCGTTCCTTGACAGGAATTTCATCTGACCACATGTACTGTAGAAGGCTTTTCGCGACAGCTGCACCTTTGCATGGAACCCCTTTGGCAGATCTGTCATTTGATTCTGCTAACAGCGGTTCCTTTTTTCAGGCTCAAAGGAGCAACTTTCTCTGGAAAAGCTTAAGAACATTGTCCCTGATCTCTTTAGTTCTAATACCGTAAATGATGGGGTTGACAATCCATGGAAGGAACATGTAAACTGCACTGATGAAGTTGTGGACATCCTGACTGGCAGACTTGGCCTGGCGGTACACAATGGAGGAGATGACACTGCAAGAGTAGCTTGTGAGCGTGACCATGAGGTGGGTGCCACAGGTGTGAAAGGCCTTGTGCCAGAGATGGCCAGATGTCATATGTAATGCCACATGGATGATACGACTGTAGGAGCCCAAGAGGACACTGAAGTCAAAAACAATGTGGATAGATCTTGTCATCAGGCCTACAACCCTATTCCTGGAAGTATCACCACAAGACAGCTTCATCAGAGCCATATGATCACAGACAAAGTGCCCGATGATGTTGGACCGGCAGAACCTCACCTGGGAAGCCAAGATCACCACTGGGCTAACAATGGCCATACTGCGAGCAAGAGCCACAAGAGAAAGCACCACTAGGAGCTTCTTCGTCACAAAGTCCACATAGCGCAGCGGATGGCAAATTGCCACATATCTGTCCAAAGCCATGAGGAGAAGGACACTGCACTCCAGCACGAGGATGAAATAGAGGAAGAACATCTGGGTGAGGCATAACGTCAAGGAGATGTGGCTGGCCCCAAGCAGGAAACTGAGGATCATCTGAGGGAAGATAACAGTGGCCCCACAGATGTTAACCGAGAGGAGCAAAGCAATCAGCAAGCACATGGGCGTGTGGATACTCTCCTCCGCTTTCACTGTGTAGATCAGGATGGAGTTTCCAGCAAGAATGATGACGTAAAGGCAGAAGCAAGGAATGGCAAGGAGGTATCTGGCCCCTTGAAAGCCCGGGAAGGCGAGGAGGAGGAATTCTGTGTAAGAGGCGTTAACGGTTCCATTCTGGCTCCCACCAGACATCTTAGTGCTGCTGAATGATAAAGCGGTAGGAAAAAATAATCATTCTCAGTGCCTTAGAGAAATTCTTATGGACGAGAATAACGGAGGGCCCAGAGGAGTGCAGGGAAGTTCCTTGCTAGGAGGAGGACGTTGTCCAAGGGTTGTCCAAAGGACCCCCGCTGCACCTGCCAGCCATGAGGCCACTTACTGAGTTGCAGAATGCATTTGCTACCCTTTCACAGGCATGTCCCCCTGGCACGCTGTCCACTTCCAAGCCCCCTCCCCAAAGCGTTCGGAAGTCAGCCACGTGACTGTCTTCCCGTCTGCCGATCTTGGAGCGATCCAGTCCGCGCTCCCTTCAGGCAACTGGTAGGAGTGCAGCGAAGGTTATTGTTCCTGGGCTAAACTGGGTGTGCCATTTAAGGGTCTTCCTTCCTCACCTGAAAATGAGGCTCACCGTTTGCAAAGAAGAGCAGTGTTGCCAGCACGGAGAGGAGTCTTAATCCTTCTCCTACCGGTCTCTCCAAAACAGTTTCTGCTCTTCTCTAATGAGTTCCAGATCAATTAGTCTGGACCTTACAGGAGGAAGAACCTGTTGGGCGGTTTGGGGGCTGTTGTTCCTTTTCTGCCTGCCACCCCTGATAAAATCTCGTGTCCAGAAGGTTTTTGCCCAGCAGCAGATAAATTCACACGGGCAGGTCGTGCAAACGTCCAGTAATCAGCAACTCAGTTACATGAATATCAGCCAACAACTCAGCTAACATGAATACTGCATAGATACGTCAGGTGGAATGCATTCCAGGGCACCCTTGTTGTGATCATAGGACTCACTGGCCCGCGAAAAGGAAGAAGAGCTGGTTTTTGGAGTGGAGAGGCAGCCACTGGGCTTCCTGGTCAAATCTCTCTCTCCCCAGGTGTCTGTATTAATGAACTGTGGGCACTGAGAGTTGAGGACTCCCCGTACGTTTCCCACTTTGTAGCTAAGCCACGCTTTCTTGCTGTGCCCTCAGTGAAATATTGCTCCACCGCCGGCCTTTTCATGGGCCGTGAAGCGTCTGCACGCTTCCCAAGGCTCTTCTCCTGACTTTAAGCCAACCCGGTTCCTTCCTTCTTTTTCTCTGTAATCTTCTCCCTCCTGCCGTCTTCAAGGATTTCACAAAGAATCGTCTTCTGGAGTAACAGCAGTCAAGCTAGATTGGAAACTAGAGAAGCTGCCCCGCCCGATCCCTTCCTGAGCGTTACGCAAGGCAGGTCTGTCCGATCCACTCCGCCTACTTACCTGCAGCTTCCTCAGAAACGCGCAGTAAGAGATTCACTGCTCGGTCCACGGAGAAGCTGCACGTCCAGGTCCTCCCGATGGTGGTTGCCTCATGCGGCAGAGATAAATGAACTCGGTCGCCGCTCGGTTGGAGTTCCTGCTCCCTCCTGGGGCCGTCGTGAGCAAGTCTCTTCAGGACACGTGGGGACCCTCGATACCCCCGGATGCCACTCCCGGAAGGCCCGTGGCCCAGAAGGGAGAGTGGGGACGAGGGAAGGGACCCAACGGGGAACGGCAGGCGTAAGTTAGTATTAAATAAAATACCCACAAAACATTTGCCTCCGGTGGGCTTCTGCCAGATGTTTCCAAAGGCACGAAAGCCGCGCTAAGCACCTCCACCCAACGCATCGTCCTTTTCTTAAGCAGAGATAGAGGCTGTATCAGAAGTTAGGCCCCCTAAGCCAGTCACAGTATGCTTTATGAATTAATATTTTTTTCCAGAGAAAACGTTACCGTATTTAGGAACGCTCAAAGATCGTACTGTACCTCAAACGAGTAAGGAAGTGTTTAGAAGAAAATAGCAATCAATCCAAACATTTAATTTATATAATGAATTGTTTATGGGGCCTGACTTTTGGTATACCCTCTGTGTGTGTGTGTTGCTCAGACTAATTTATTATCAAATGGGGCATCTGAAAAAAGAAAACGGTCCAATTTAAAAGGTAAGTACATCATTTAAAAAGTAGCCCTTCTCGCCGTATGAAAAAACCGTTAATACTTAAGAGCATCCCTCAGATTCTGGAGGCTTTCGTTGGGCAATACCTTTCCTCCCTTCCTCGGACTCTCCCAGCTCACCGGGCCACTTCCGGGCCGTTTTCTGATCCAGTCTGGGGCAGAGGAGGGGGGGCGGCGGCGACAGGGGCTGTGCCGCAGTCAGTGCCCGCAACCTGTAGGCCTGGCCCCCCGGCCGCTCTTGCGCCAGGCCCTCACCTGCTCCCAGCGAAGGTCTTCCTCGGTGCCAAAAGGGCAGGATCCGCAGAGAGAAAGCCAGAACGCGGCTCACGGCACGACAAAGCCGTCGCGGAGGAAGCCCCCGGGAGCTGCCCGAGGGAGGACCAGGCCTGGACGGGGGGTTAGGGGAAAAGGGAAGAAATGGAATCGAGTGTCTTGCAACAGGGCTGGGGGTCTCCTGGAGGGGCGCTGCCACGGAGGGGGACGTGGGGAGCGGCCCCGGGTTTATCTCTGCCTCCTCCTCCGATCGGGATTCGCACACGTAGCGTTTGCATAAAACAGTGGCATGACAGTGCTCTCTGACACGCGTTCGGGTTCCGATCCACACCGAGCTTCCACTGCGTCCCGGACTGCTGCGCGGGAGTCTCCGGTTCGAGAGCGAGTTCCGTCCCCACCGTCTGCCCCTGAGTCGGACCGGCACGTAGGCCGGACCACTATTCCGGTATAAAAGTGCAGAACTAGCGTTCTGTAACCGTTGGGCCCTGAACTCGAATTGCTGGGTGCTCAACTCAGATTTCGCCACAGCGGGCTCCGTCTATTTCCCAGATCCCTCGGAATCTGGCCGCTGCTCACCTCTCTGCCCCCCATGAAAGACAGGACGGAGCCCCCTCCTTTCTTTTTAAATACTAGCCCAAGAAAGAAACCTCCTTGCTCCTCAGCTGCTCGGCTTGTTTGAATTTCTCAGGACTGATGATAGTTGTTCAGACTGGCGGGATAGCTCTGATGAACAGAAGAAAGGCTAGTCTTCCATTCTGAGCCCCTTGGGACAGGATTTCTCATCTGGAGTTTTATTTGCCCCCACCTCCCAAATGCCAAATGCCGCAGCAGGATGACCGTGGGACAAGCGTTCTTCTGGAAGCAGCGGCTCTTTGCAGAAACGGAAAACCCACCGAAATGGGACAGGCGGCAGAGCTGGGAATTTCCTATCCAAATTCCCCTTTGCCTCATTTGTCTGTTTCCACGTACCTCACTATTTACTCATTCCAGTGACTCTTACGGTTACCCTACACTTTTTCTGCTGATGTTCTCTGCATTGGGACGGGTTCTCCTTCCCCGAGAATGACTCCTTTTAAGTTTCACAGCTTCCTGGACCCTTATCTAAGGTCACGTTGGAGGAACGGCCGTGGGTCAATGGCCCAGTGTGTCGTGGGTTCAGAACACACCTGGGGACGTGGTGCACTCTGGTCGGTTTCGTGTAGCCGGCAGGTGGGGGAGCTTAGAATCCTCCTCGGCTCAGTCCGATCCCAGGAAGGGGGCGATGCTCTCCGTGGTGCAAGGTGGTGCCGCCCCTGGGTTTGGTCCACGCCCCTCCAGCTCCCTCTGGTGACTCGTGAGGACTCTGTGGCTGGATTTGGGAGGTGGCGAATGCTTCTCCGAGCGGGGACAGGGCACTGTCCGGCCTGCCTAGAAAGAGGCAGCGGTCTTCCTTTCCTGAAGAAGCCAACTCTCGATCTGGCCTTCTGACCACTTTCTCTAGCCTCCGGCCATCCCCTTCTAGGGAAGAATGAGGAGAAGGAGGTGGGGAATCAGCTGCAGGGGATCTGAGAAGAAGCAATCCGCTAGATCCCTTTCAGTCAGTATTGGGCCTACTGATCAAATGGGAATGACATTGGTCACTGCGACTGAGGACCTTCTTTGGGACTTGAAGGGGGGAGCGTGGTCCCCTTAAAGCTCTCGGTGGCGCTTGATTCCTTCAGCTGTAGCCTCCTCCTGGGCTGGGATACAGGGCACAATGGCCCTGCTCCTACCCGAGTGGGTAGTTCCAGTCGGTGGTCACGAGAAGGCGAGGGCTCAAGCCCTTGATTACTCCAGCTGGGGTGCCGCGAGGCTTGGCATCTTCCCCTATGCTATTTAACGTCTAGATGAAACGGCTGGAAGAAGTTATTCATCAGTTTGAGGTGAGGGATCAGCAGTACACTGATGACCCTCAGTTATACATTGCCACCCCAGGCTGAGCCGACGATGCTGTAGAAATTCTCTACTGATCTGCAGAGGTCGGTAGGGGCTCAGGAGGGAGCATCCAATGAAATCCTACCAAGACAGAGTTTCTCTTTGTCCACCCAAACATCTGGGTGATCTGGTAACGCTGGTATCGCTTTTGATGGAGTCATGTTCTCGTGAAAGATATTGCCAGGGATTTGAGTGTCCTCCTGGACTTCTGGCTCCTGCTTGAGGAGGACTGCAGGCGGAGGTCACGGCCAGGGGGGCGTTTGCCCAGTTCTGGTCGGGGCACCAGCTGTTGCCCTACCTGGACTAGGATGATCTGGTGCTGGTAACCCATGTCTTCATCGCCATTTAGTTGGACTACCGAAATACACTCTGCGTGGGGCTACCTTTGAAAACGACCCACAGCTGCAGCTGGTCCAGAATGTGCCAGCTGGTCTGTAGGAGGACAACTCCAGCCTAGTAGGGGGACATGGGTTCTTAGCAGGCTTCAGGCCCCGTTGGAAGGGCTGGTTATCACCTATAAAGCCCCAAATGGCCCCAAGACCTATCAGGAGCTGCCTTGCCAGATGCGAGTGCCTGTCCACTCTGAACATCTAGGGAGGACCTTCTGAGGCTCCACCCCCATGAGGGGTACACGGGGTGTGGTGGCCAGGAGGAAGATCTTCTTGGGAGTAGCCCCGTGTTTTAGAGCAGAGTACCCGATACACATTTGGGCCTGACCCTCTTTGCACTTTGCAGCGGTCAGAAGACCGTCCTCTTCAGACAGGCCTTTCATTTGGGATAACTCGGTGTGGTCAGTATTAAT